GGAAATGTGTGATTTTTCAGTACAAACCTTGTTTTCATGAAACAGCACTGGATTATACAATTTAGTCTGCAGGTCATTCTTTGTGAGATGCATCTTTCATTTCACTAAATGCTTGTGTGCAGAAAAAAAATATCCTGTCACTGTGTCACTGCAGAGCTAGTAGCAGAGACTAATAACTGTCCTATGTTAACATTTCACAGTCAGATTTCAGCTGCTGAGATGCCTTTGACTTTTAGAACCTTAAGAAAGTGATCCATAGAGGAAAAACTGCATAACCGATTTCTTAGATCACAGTATATATTTATATTTATATATATATGGAAAAAAATACACTCTTTTTAAAGTCTATACATCCGTTTAATATTGGTCAAGCACAATTATATTTAACAGTTGCCCATAAGATAGAGGATCTCTCAGTGGTCCACATTCAGTGAATATTTTCCAAACCCTGTAAGAATAAGAGAAAGACAAATGTTAGCACTGAATCCTGAAAGTTTTAATTTCACTCAGTTCATTTTTACTCAGTCTAAAGCTGAACTCCAGGTATGATTTTGCACAAGTACATTGGTTCAGCTTGTCACAATGTAAGTATGCATACCTAATACACGAGGGACCTTTGGGGAAGCGGATGATCACTGTCATAGTCGGCGCTTCTACCCGCTACATGTCGGGTCCTGTGCACAGTGGCTTTCCCACTGTACAATGATCACAGAGAGTCGCTTGCTTGACACTATTTCACCATTCACTGAACATCTTTTATTGTTTTAAGAATAGAAGGAGTTTTCTGTTTGGATGAGGTGGAGTTTCTCCTCTCCAAGTCATCCAATCAGAGAATGCCTTGTACTCAATATAAAAATAAAATACAAGTTGTTATGTGAATGGCAGCAGTGCCAGCTACCCCAAAGATCCCTCAGGTATACTTACATTGGTCCAAGCTGGACACAGCTGCTGATCTCAATTTGACAGCCCCACAGTCTGCATTTGGGAAACGGATGGAAAATTGGGAGCAGCATCTCTGTTCATGTAGCGGAATGGGACTGCCTGCACAGGGATGCACGGAACACCTGCGCATCCTTGTGCGGCAAAACACAGCCCTCTTTGCTGTAGTATAAATACATTTAAAAAAATATATATATAATAATAATAACACACACACAGCCCACTTTATTAGGTACACCTGTTCAATTGCTTGGTAACACAAATTGCTAATCAGCCAATCACATGGCAGCAACTCAATGCATTTAGGCATCTAGATGTGGTGAATATGACTTGCTGAAGTTCAAACAGAGCATCAGAATGGGGAAGAAAGGGGATTTAAGTGACTTTGAGCATAGCATGGTTGTTGGTGCCAGACAGGCTTGTCTGAGTATTTCAAAAACTGCTGATCTACTGGGATTTTCACGTACAAACATCTCTAGGGTTTACAGAGAATGGTCTGAAAAAGGGAAAAAAATCCAGCGAGTGGCAGTTGTGTGGATGAAAATGCCTTGTTGAGGTCAGAGGAGAAAGGGTAGACTGGTTTGAGATGATAGAAAGGCAACAATAACACAAATAACCCCTTGTTACATCCAAGGTATGCAGAATACTATCTCTGAATGCACAACATGTCGAACCTTGAAACAGATGGGCTACAGCAGCAGAAGACCACACCAAGTGCCACTCCTGTCAGCTAAGAGCAGGAAACGGAGGCTACAATTTGCACAGGCTCACCAAAATTGGACAATAGATTGGAAAAACATTGCCTGGTCTTTTCTTTGTACTGCTTCCTTTGTGTGAAATTGCTGGTGTTCTTGTCAGTCCCTCTGCTTGCCTCTTAAAAACTGACCACACTAGACAGAAGAGCACAGCATGGTCAGTTTTCTGGATGTGCTGGAACCCAGCCAGCTCTCCGCCAATGATCAGACTTTTGCTGACATGCACCCTGTGCCCCCCCCCCCCCCCCCCTTTCTCAATGGGAAGATCAGTGTCCTGCTGTTGTTACTTCCTATGAGCTCCCTTTGCAGCTGAGAGCAGAAGGTATGTGATCACAAACATAAAAAGGGGAAAAAAGTATTTATAATGTTTTCATATGTATACATTAATGTTTTGCCTTTCCTTTCTATTTTAAACTGAAAGGGTTGTTTTACAAATTAAGGGTTTCTATATACACATTTCTCAAAAAAATTAAAGGAACACTTTGAAAACACATCAGATCTTAATGGGGAAAATATCATGCTGGATATCTATACTGATATGGACTGGGTAATGTGTTAGGAATGTAAAGATGCCCCATTGTTTGATGGGAATGAAATGATCAACATACAGGGGACTGAATTCAAAGACACCCCGAAAATCAAAGTGAAAAAATGATGCAGCAGACTAGTCCATGAAAATGGTACTCAGTAGTTTGTATGGCCCCCACGTGCTTGTAAGCACGCCTGACAATGTCGTGGCATGCTCCTAATGAGACAACGGAAGGTGTCCTGGGGTAGTTCCTCCCAGATCTGGACCAGGGCATCACTGAGCTCCTGGACAGTCTGAGGTGCAACCTGGCGGCGTCAGATGGACCAAAACACGATATCTCAAAGGTGTTCTATTGGATTTAGGTTAGATGAGTGTGGGGGCCATTCAATGGTATGAATTCCTTCTGTCCTTCAGGAACTGCCGGCATACTCTCACCACATGAGGCCGGGCATTGTAATGCACCAGAAGGAAGCCAGGACCCACTGCACTAGCGTTGGGTCTGACAATGGGTCCAAGGATTTCATCCCGATACCTAATGGCAGTCAGGGTGCAATTGTCTAACCTGTAGAGGTCTGTTTGTCCCCCCACGGATTACGCCTCCCCAGATCATCACTGACCCACCACCAAAAAGGTCATACTGAACGATGTTACAGGCAGCATAATGTTCTCCACGGCTTCTCCAGACCATTTCATGTCTGTCACATGTGCTCAGGCTGAGCCCGCTCTCATCTGTGAAAATCACAGGGCACTAGTGGCGGACCTGCCAATTCTGGTGTTCAATGGCAAATGCCAGTCGAGCTCTATGGTGCCGGGCAATAAGCACAGGACCCACTAGAGGACGTCGGACCCTCAGGCCACCCTGATGAAGTCTGTTTCTGATTTTTTGATCAGACATTCACACCAGTTACCTGCTGGAGGTCATTTTCTAGGGCTCCGGCAATGCTCATTCTGTTCCTCTGTGTACAAAGGAGCAGATACTGGTCCTGCTGATAGGTTAAGGACTTTCTACAGCCCTGTCCAGCTCTCCTACAGTAACTGCCTGTCTCCTGGAATCTCCTCCATGCTCTTGAGACTGTGCTGGGAGACACAGCAAACCTTCTGGCAATGGTACGTATTGATGTGCCATCCTGGAGGAGTTGGACTGCCTGTGCAACCTCTGTAGGGTCCAAGTATCTCCTCATGCTAACAGTAGTAACACTGACCCTAGCCCAGGGGTGGACAAACTTTTTGACTTGAGGGCCGCAATGGGTTCATATATTGGACCCGGGGGCCGGACCAAGAGTAGATGAATGATGTGTATGTGTCATCCATAGTAAGTATGGTAATATTCCCCCATAGTAAGCATAGTAATTAATCACCCATATAGTAATTCATCCCCCATAGTAATTCATCCCCCATAGTAATTCGTCCCCCATATAGTAATTCGTCCCCCATAGTAATTCATCCCCCATATAGCAATTCATCCCCCATATAGCAATTCATCCCCCATAGTAATTCATCCCCCATATATAGTAATTCATCCCCCATAGTAATTCATCCCCCATAGTAATTCATCCCCCATATAGTAATTCATCATAATTCATCCCCCATAGTAATTCATCCCCCATATAGTATTCATCCCCCATAGTAATTCATCCCCCATAGTAATTTCCCCCATCCCCCCTATATATAATTCATCCCCCATATAGTAATTCATCCCCCATAGTAATTCATCCCCCATAGTAATTCATCCCCCCTATAATAATTCCTCCCCCATATAGTAATTCATCCCACATAGTAATTCATCCCCCCTATAGTAATTCATCCCCCATATAGTAATTCATCCCCCATATAGTAATTCATCCCCCATATAGTAATTCATCCCCCATAGTAATTCATCCCCCATATAGTAATTCATCCCCCATAGTAATTCATCCCCCATATAGTAATTCATCCCCCATATAGTAATTCATCCCCCATATAGTAATTCATCCCCCATATAGTAATTCATCCCCCATATAGTAATTCATCCCCATATAGTAATTCATCCCCCATAGTAATTCATCCCCCATAGTAATTCATCCCCCATATAGTAATTCATCCCCCATATAGTAATTCATATAGTAATTCCCCCTATAGTAATTCATCCCCCATAGTAATTCATCCCCCATAGTAATTCATTCCCCATGTCCCCCCTGTGTCAATTCACTTACCTTTGCTCCGCGCGTTCCTCTTGTTCCCGCGCCGTTCGGTCTCCTATGAGGATCTGTCCCCCTCGACGTATCTGCGCATGTGCCAGTTTCAGGCATTAGCAGCCGATCGGCGATCTCCGGCACATGCGCAGATACGTCGAGGGGGGACAGATCCTCATAGGAAACAGGGCGGACTGTGAGAGGAGCCTAGCGGGAGCCTAGCTCCACGGGCCGGATTAAAAGGTCCGCCGGGCCCCGGGCCGTAGTTTGCCCATTGCTGCCCTAGCCAAATGCAAAACTAGTGAAACAGTCAGAAAAGAGTAGGGGAAAAAAAATGTCAGTGGCTTCCACCTGTAAAACCATTCCTGCTTGGGGGTCGTCTCATCTAGTGCATCTGGTAATTTCATTAACACCAAAGCAGCTAAAACGGATTAACATCCTCCTCTGCTACTTAATTTACCAGATCAATATCCCAGAAGTTTAATTGCCTTGATGCTATACTTGGATTAAAAAAAGTGTTCCTTTAATTTTTTGGAGCAGTGTACTTTAATTTGTTATATACAGCACTGTAGGTATGTTGTGCTGCATACAGCAAGGATTACTTACCTTTGATCGGTAATAGAGCTGTTCTCCAGAAACTCGTATGTCCCTCTGCATGAGGTACCAATGGTATGGAAACCGAACAACTCTCTTGTCCTGCACAAGAAAACAGAAAACCTCAATATAAATGTATTAATGTCATGCCCTGATTAAAGAAAACTCAAAGTATCATACTTGGAAAAAAAACCCACAATCAATACTGTATATAGCTGTGCTTTTACTGGCCACAAAATCAACAGCATTTGTTTAAAGGGGGTATACAGTACAGAGTACACATCTGTAAGAGGCCCATACAATGTACATGCGCCTGAGAGTCCCAGACTGAAAATTACCCCTGAATGAACATTATGTCCCTCTTGCCCGTGTCCATGCACCCGAAAACTTGCAACATGGAACTTGTGACTTCTCATTTAGGTTTCACACATTAGAGGTGATTGTAGCCATATTAGTGCACTTGCGACAAATAATTGAGTACTGTCTGTGATATTTTTTTATTTGCACTAACATACAATTTTCAGGACAAGTTCTGGGGGTATGTCCCCTTCTTCATGGTTCAAGCAGTACTACTGCACAAAGTTTTAGCAGAATGTGAAAAGAAAATCTCTGGGTGGGGAACAAAACAAACAAAAACAAGAAAAAAAAAAAAAAAAAACACAAAAAAAAAAAAAGGTACACAGCAATGGTTATAAAACTAGGATTAGACTAGGGATAAGACAGAGCAGAAGCAAAGACTGGGGGGGGGGGGGGGGGGGAGGTTGGGACAACAGTCACAGATTGGGTCGTAAAACTGTTGGATAACGAGCGAGGAATCCCATGTCCAAATTAAGGCCATTATCTTTTGTATTAAATAGAAATATATCATTCTTAGTTCAAAAGTTTCCTTTCCTAAATAGTTTTGAAATTTCCTTTAAGAACTAAGATATTGAGTGGAGAGAGTCGATCAGATCTGTAGGATGGAAAAAATTATCTGTATGCAAGAAGATCGAATGGGACCATATTACCTGAGATGGAGTAAGTGGGAGTTCAAGTTAAAGTTGAATAGAAGTGAATAGAACATATAGTAAGAATATCTCTCTTATTTCTAATTAGAAGGGGTGAAAGTATTGTAGGGTAGGTGACGGGGAAGGGGAAAAGGAGAATAGAAATGAATAAAAGTTATTTGTTGGTTTTATGTGATTATAAGCGTAATATGTATTTGTGAAAAATGTATTAAATATCTAAATAAAAAAAAAAAAAAAAAGAACTAAGATATTGAGGTCTTCCATATTGTGGCCTGGTTGTGGGAAATGGTGTCCCACAGGTGTGCAGAAGTCATCTTCATTATGTTCCTTGATGGTATGTCTGTGCAAATTCATCCTTGTTCGCAACTTCTGTCCTGTTTCGCCAACGTAAGGCCCCATGTACACGGGACACTTCTGAACGATGAAAACGGACTGCTGGAAAACGTAGATTAAAAAAAGGCTGTTTAGCCATGTTTGCATAACGCATTTATGAGCATTTGCGTTTAGAAACGTTTTTTTTAAGATAACCTCAGGAGACCTTCCAAAATGCCCAGAATGCACTGAAAAACAGTACAAAATGAACAATTTCAGACATTTTGAGAGAAATAGCGCAGAAGCAGAGAGGGCAGTATTTGTTGAGATTAGCTCTTTTCTTTTTGTGGTGTTTGGATGTGTTCCAGCTCATTTCTGTGCAGAAATTATTGCAGCAGTGTCTAACATTTTTTTTTTCATGCAAAAACTCAAAGTTTGGTGTGCTAGGTCCAATTGAGCACCGGGAAAACGCTTTGCATGCATTTTTCATTCTGAAAAAAAGGCTCTGGACAGCAACTGGAAATGGAAGAGTTAAAAAAAATGTTTCAAACGCAAACGCCTATAAACGCGGTTAGCCACGTTTACAAGCATATTGCGTTTGAAACGCTGATAAAATCTACTGCTGAATGCAAGTTTTCTGCATTCAAAAAAAGACTGTAAACTCAACTGCCTGTAAATGACGATGTGTACATGGACACATAGGAAAACATTAGGGCGAGTTCAGGGGCTGCTGAAAAAAAAAATGCTGAACAGTTTCTAAACTTGAGTTTATCAGCTGCAGTGTACATGAGCCCTGAGATCCTTTGCTACATTTTCTGCACAGGATAAGGTACACATCATTACTGGAGGTGCAGCTGTATGATCCTGTGACACTGAAGATCCCTTTTGAATGTCTGACACTTTTTGATGGATTAATTTAGTTGCACAGTTTGCAGCGTTTTTAATTGCAGGGTGTGCTTCCATTATTTGTGACATCATAATCAGAAGGAGCTTTCCGGATTAGTTTATTTCTGAGGTTGGGGGGTTGTCTAAAAGCCAGTATTGGGGGTTGCTGGAATATTTCTTTCAGAGTTCCATCCTCTGTTATGATGGGTGGTAAATCTTTGATTATTTTTCTTATCCCTTCTAGTGCTGAGTTGTATGTGGTTACTAGAGGTACACGGTTGTTTGTTTTTTTTTCTCCTTGTACTGAAGTAGATTTTCTCTTCCGGTTCTCAAGGCTGTGTTTATGCTGGTGTTTGATAGTTTTGTCCTTGTAACCTTTCTTATGGAAGGCGTCTGCTAGTGTCTCGAGATGTTTATCTCTGTCTCTTGGGTGATATCTGATGGCCTGACTGCGTATGATGGCCCATTTCATGTGTTGGGGGTGAAAGCTGGAAATGTGGCGGTAGTTGCATCTGTCAGTGGGTTCCCTGTATATTGAGGTGTAAAGCTTGTCATCCCTGATGTATACTGTGGTGTCTAGGAAGTTGATATGTGTTTAAGTATTCCATTTTTAGTTTGATTGATGGATGAAAAGTGCTGATCGATGAGTACAATTGTTTTAGATTTTCTTGACCTTCTGTCCATATGATGAAAATATCATCGATATAGCGATAGTATCTGTATGGTCTTTGTTCCATGCTGTTCAGGAATTTTTCCTCCAGGTCAGCCATAAATAAATTGGCATATTGGAGTTCCATTTTACTTCTCATAGCAGTACCCATACATTGAAGATAGATGTCATTATTGAAAGAGAAGTAGTTGTGCGTAAGTATGAATTCAAAGAACCGTGTAACATCCTCAAGGCTCATGTACGCGGGCGTTTGGAAAACACTTCTGAACGATGGAAACTGCTGGAAAATGTAGGTTAAAAAGCGTCAGTTTAGCATTTGCATACTGAGTTTAGAAGCGTTTTTAAAAGATAACCTCAGGAGACCTTCTCAAATGCCCAGAATGTGCTGAAAAACAGTAAAAAATTAACTATTTCAGACATTTTGAGAGGAATGACAGAGCAGAAGCAGAGAGGGCAGAATGTGTTGAGATTAACTGTCTTTTCTGGTTGTATTCACTATGAATCCCATATCATGGGATTCCTAACTCATTAACCAACAGTTTTACGACCCCCCTCTGTGACTGTTGTCCCAACCCCCCAGTCTTTGCTTCTGCTCTGTCTTATCTCTAGTCTAATCCTAGTTTTAGAACCAATGCTGAGTACCTTTGTGTGTTTTTTTTTCTGGGGTCCCCCCCCCCCCCAGGGGAAGGGGGGGGGGTTTGTTCCCCCCAGAGATTTAACATTCTGCTAAAACTTTGCAAAGTACTCCTGATTGGACCCTGAAGAAGGGGACATTCCCCGAAAGCTTGTCCTGAAAATTGTATGTTAGTGCAAATAAAAAAAGTATCACGGGCAGTTCTCAAAGGTTTCACACATTAAACTTGCCTTCAAGTATAACTAAATGCAAAACTTTATTTTTAGTTCTGGATGGAGAGGAGATGGATTAGACCCCCTGTCAGGTTTTATTGTGGCCTTTGCCCCCATTAGGGAGATTCCCCCTATTTGTCCTGTTTACCATTATCATAAAAAGTGAAAGTAAATCCCACGTTTTGGGTTGTCCCCAGAAAAGTAATAGAGGGGAAATCTTCTATTGGGAACAATAGTTCTGGTGACCTGGGGGGGACCCTAAAATTTGCAGGGATTTTCTCTCACTTCCTGTTTGGCTACGGGACCGGAATGAAAGGGAAATCTCCCCAATGGGACACAGATGGCAAAAAATAAACCCTACAAGGGTTATAACTCTACTCTATCCAAAATGAAAACACAAATGCTTTGCCTATAGTTCTACTTTAAGAGTTCATTCACACAAGCAGCTGCTGAACAGTGCAGTCCAGCGGGATCACAACAGTGCAGATCTTAGTGTATCGCACTGTTCATCACACACTGTCCGCAACACAGTGGTGTGAACCAGGTGCACACAGGAGACAAGTCATTTTGTCTTGTCATGCGGGGGGGGGGGGGGGGGGGGGGCTGTACTGGAATAACCACCCAATTCAGTCCCACCACCTCTGGGGTGCATCTAACCTAACACTGATCTCCAGCCTTGCCTTCAGTCTTTCACAGTTGGACAGACTCCCATCCTGCACCAAAATTGCTTACTCTAATTTCATCGACATCCTACATCATTCCTACAGTATGCATTAGAACAAGGCTTGAAATTTCCACTCACCTGCTCGCCAACGGCGAGTGGAAATTATGGTGGGGGCGAGTGTGTCCCCCAGGGCCGTCTTGCTGAGCAGGCTCGGAGCTCAGGCCGGATCTGTCATTGGCACTGGGAGCTGTCAGACTGCTCAATAGCTGAGTGCAGTGAAAGCAAAGCAAGTAGTGTGTGCTGTGCTCTTTGCCTCCCCCTAGAGTGCAGTACCCGCTCTGTGAGTGAACAACGAAGTAATGCAACTTTTTATGGGTGTGTGTGTACGTGTACATGTGTGTGTCTGTGTATTCATGTACAATTGTACATGTGCCTGCGTGTATGTACATGTATGTGTGTGTGTGTATGTACGTACATGTGTCTGTGTATGTATGTACATGTGTCTGTGTGTGTGTATTTCTGTGTATGTACATGCATCTGTGTGTATGTGTGTCTGTACTTGCCTGTGTGTGTATACATGTGTCTGTATGTGTGTGTGTGTGTGTACATGTGTCTCTGTGCGTGTGTACATGTTTTGTTTGTGTGTGTGTGTGTGTGTGTACATGTTTCTGTGCGTGTGTACAGGTGTCTCTGTTTGTGTGTGTTTGTTGGTGGCGAGTAACTCTAAGGCCTGGCTAGTAGCTCAGGACTTGAAATTGTAAGCCCTGCATTAGAAACTGCAGCATGTCAGATAGAGCCCGACTCATTTCCTGGCTTGAGAACATCCAGTGTCATCTAGTTCTTTTCTCCCCGGCCTTACTGCCCCTTCCCACCCCTTTCATTCATTGAATTTCAGTTCTTTCAATCAAAACCAAAGAAGCTCATCATCACACATAGGACTTATCTAGGACAGCCTGCTTAAAGTGGTAGTAAAGTGTAATTTCTATTTGTACCGATATGTAAGCGTATAATAAAGTTTACCTGTAGGTGAAATGAATATCTGCTAAACGTTCATGGCTTAGGAAATATTCTACAGAGCAGCAGCCAGCGACATTACTGGCGCATGAGCTCTGAAGGAACGGCACATAAGGAGGATCAATGTATGAACTGCCTAAAACAGCTAAACAATTCCTCTTACCGCTCCTCTTTAGAGGAGTACTGAGGCAAGGTGCTGTGATAGTTTGCAGGAAGCCATGTACAGAATCCTGGGGGACCCTACCACCCCCACCAGCTATGATCTGCCTGCATTGCACAAAGAAGACCCAGATGATCAGGTGAGGAGGAGGACGGCGGGTAGAACGATCCGGGGAGGAGGGTGACAACGGGTAGAACGGTCCGGGGAGGAGGGTGACGGCGGGTAGAACGGTCCGGGAAGGAGGACGACATGTAGAACGGTCCGGGGAGGAGGAGGACGACGACATGTAGAACGGTCCGAGGAGGAGGAGGACGACGACATGTAGAACGGTCGGGGAGGAGGAGGACGACGACATGTAGAGCGGTCCGAGGAGGAGGAGGACGACGACATGTAGAACGGTCCAGGGAGGAGGGTGACGGTGGGTAGAACGGTCCGGGGAGGAGGAGGAGGACATGTAGAACGGTCCGAGGAGGAGGACGACGGGTAGAATGGTCTGGGGGGGAGGAGGAGGAGGACGACGGGTAGAATGGTCTGGGGGGGGGAGGAGGAGGACGACGGGTAGAATGGTCTGGGGGGGAGGAGGACGACGACGGGTAGAATGGTCTGGGGGGGGGAGGAGGACGACGACGGGTAGAATGGTCTGGGGGGGAGGAGGAGGACGACGACGGGTAGAATGGTCTGGGGGGGAGGAGGACGACGACGGGTAGAATGGTCTGGGGGGGGGAGGAGGAGGAGGACGACGGGTAGAACGGTCCGGGGAGGAGGACGACGGGTAGAACGGTCCGGGGAGGAGGACGACGGGTAGAACGGTCCGGGGAGGAGGACGACGGGTAGAACGGTCCGGGGAGGAGGACGACGGGTAGAATGGTCCGGGGAGGATGACAGGTAGAACGGTCCGGGGAGGAGGAGGACGACAGGTAGAACGGTCCGGGGAGGAGGAGGACGACATGTAGAACGGTCCGGGGAGGAGGAGGACGACATGTAGAACGGTCCGGGGAGGAGGAGGACGACATGTAGAACGGTCCGGGGAGGAGGAGGGACGACATGTAGAACGGTCCGGGGGGAGGAGGAGGACGACATGTAGAACGGTCCGGGGAGGAGGAGGACGACATGTAGAACGGTCCGGGGAGGAGGAGGACGACAGGTAGAACGGTCCGGGGAGGAGGAGGACGACAGGTAGAACGGTCCGGGAGGAGGAGGACGACAGGTAGAACGGTCCGGGGAGGAGGACGACAGGTAGAACGGTCCGGGGAGGAGGACGACAGGTAGAACGGTCCGGGGAGGAGGACGACAGGTAGAACGGTCCGGGGAGGAGGACGACAGGTAGAACGGTCCGGGGAGGAGGACGACACGTAGAACGGTCCGGGGAGGAGGAGGACGACAGGTAGAACGGTCCGGGGAGGAGGAGGACGACATGTAGAACGGTCCGGGGAGGAGGAGGACGACATGTAGAACGGTCCGGGAGGAGGAGGAGGACGACATGTAGAACGGTCCGGGGGGAGGAGGACGACATGTAGAACGGTCCGGGGAGGAGGAGGACGACATGTAGAACGGTCCGGGGAGGAGGAGGACGACATGTAGAACGGTCCGGGGAGGAGGAGGACGACAGTGTAGAACGGTCCGGGGAGGAGGAGGACGACAGGTAGAACGGTCGGGGGGAGGAGGACGACAGGTAGAACGGTCCGGGGAGGAGGACGACAGGTAGAACGGTCCGGGGGGAGGACGACAGGTAGAACGGTCCGGGGAGGGACGACAGGTAGAACGGTCCGGGGAGGAGGACGACAGGTAGAACGGTCCGGGGAGGAGGACGACAGGTAGAACGGTCCGGGGAGGAGGACGACAGGTAGAACGGTCCGGGGAGGAGGACGACACGTAGAACGGTCCGGGGAGGAGGACGACACGTAGAACGGTCGGTCGGGGGAGGAGGACGACAGGTAGAACGGTCCGGGGAGGAGGACGACAGGTAGAACGGTCCGGGGAGGAGGACGACACGTAGAACGGTCCGGGGAGGAGGACGACATGTAGAACGGTCCGGGGAGGAGGATGACGGGTAGAACGGTCCGGGGAGGAGGACGACGGGTAGACCGGTCCGGGGAGGAGGATGACATGTAGAATGGTCCAGGGAGGAGGATGACAATCATACAGTAATGACAATATTTTCCAGACAAGAAGCACAGAGATATCCCCCGGCTCCCATAGACGGGCCTGCAGTGTCCCCGGCTCACCTTGCCCCCATTAGTAAGTCGATGAATATATAGGGTGGACAGTCCCGGGATCATCATGCAGCCGGTCATGATGGCAAGGCCTGGTAGGATTTCAAACCACATGATAGCACCGTGCACCGCTCTCTCCAAGACCCTCTCTATACACCAGCAGACGGGCCTCAGCTCAGGGTCACTCTCCCGGGCCAGCATGCACCGCGCGGCTAAGCATGTCGGACAAGGCGGCCATTTTTGAACTGGGCAAACCCTAAGATACAAATTACAAAGCGGAGAGACCCTGCGCTGCTGCTTAGCCGACGTTCCTACGTCTTTACCCACAACAATCATGGCGACCTATTATACCATACGGCTGAGCTTTCAGTTCGGTAGGACATTGCTAATCATTATCGCCTCATAAATCAGAATTATTTAATGTCACCGACGTTCTAAAGTTGTAATTTTTAACGGAATAGAATTTAGAATCTAATAACGAGACAGTTCTCGCGAGACGCATTCTACGGAGAATTTCGCAGCAGGCAACGTCAGGGCGGCCATGTTACGAAGGGAAAAGTTCTCGTGAGGAACAGTTGTGTGTATAAAGACGACGTATTCTACAGACACCCGACAATAGTAGTCCCTGACCTAGTGATCTCAGGGGACCTATATGTCCACAGGGAAGGAGTCGATTTATCGTTTGCCCGATGCTCAATAGATGCCACATCCAAGATGGAGGCCATTCATGACAGTCGTGGTCACGTGGCGATTGTGCCGACCAATCAGTGAGCCGGGCTGGAGATTGCTGGGGAGAAGTAGTCGGCTGGAGTCAGTTTAGTTTGGGCCATCGAGTATCTGTGTGTCCGCCTCCTCTCAGGAAGCCATGAAGGAAGACAAGGAGAACACAAAGCCCAAGGAGAGGAGAGGGGAGCTGGCCGGGGTGGAGGATGGGGACAGGCCGGAGAAGGCGAAGGAGAAGAAGGAAGTCATGAGCAAGGTGAGGAGGAGGCGGCTCAGGCCTTGCCATTCACATGGGGGGAATGACAGGACTCCTGACCTGGGCCGGTGATGTGATAGGAGGGGGTGTGGGCCGTATACAGGACCTCCAATACTCCATGAAGACCGGTCCCAGTCATTTCCACACACAGCCCGGCTTCCCTCATAACATGGATTGGGGACTTCCATGGATACAACTGCAACTCCTTTTCTGTGTTTACACCCTCTCCCTGAAATCTCCCCAGCTTCATTCTCATCTCATATGTAGTGATCCTGCCATAAAGACTGTTCTTCAGGCACTTTCTGTTCTGAAGTGACAACTGCCTCCCAGTTGAGCTTCTGCGTTGTCACCCTGTCACATGCGCCCCCTGGTTGGAAGTATCAGCTGTTCGCATGGCACACCATCATTGTCCACACTGTCAGATCCCCAAACAAGGCATAGTTCACCTTTTCAGTTGTCGGACTCTTCTCCGCAGCATGTGAGCAGCCCCATCCAGCTGGTATTTTACAGTTCAGGTGGGTGGTTTTTACTATCCTCCAGAAAAACATATTTCATGAGCAGGTGGACCTGTTATTCCTGGTGCCAGGTTTTTTATTTTACTATATGTTTGGGTACTTATAGACCTCCTTGGTTTTAAAGGCTCAAGGCATTTTACCTTTGTCCATTCTATGCATGAAGGTAAAAAACCTTATGTGTGCAACCCCCCCCCCCCCCCAATACTTAACCTGAGCCCCAGCTCAATCCAGCGATGTGCACGAGAGCCTTGGCTGTCCCGGGTTTCTCTTTCCTCATTGGCTGAGACAGCAGTGGGTCCCATTGGCTCCTACTATTGTCAATCACAGCCAGCTAGGCAAGGAAGAGAGAGCAGGGGTGGGGCCAAGCCATGTATGTGTGTGTGAATGAACAGACAGAGCAGCAGCTTGGGAGTGAGCCTCCTTGGGTGCCCCCATAGCAAGCTGCTATGGCTGGTCCACCAGGTGAGAAGAGAATGTTACGGAAGAAGGGGGTCCCCCCCTCCCATCACCACTGCCTTTACCAGACTCTCCTGTTCAATTGGGGAGCTGGCACGGATGCGAAGTGCAATATCCGGCTCAGGGTACACAGTGAGAGGAATGGATGTTTTTCCTCATTGTGTGACATCAGAAAGAGGAAGCTGCAAGGATTCGGTCATTTCCGGCTTCGGTCCTGTGTTTGCTGGCTGCTTATTGGCCAGTGATGCAGCCAATTAGACCAGTTTGTGTGTGATCGGCTGCACTGGAGGCCAGAGGACAGGTCTCTGTATAGCCAGCTTAACTTGCTCACTTACCATGAAAATTTAAAGTGATTGGAAATTATCACCTTCTAAAACAACCCATTCAGTTTAAAATAGAAATGAAAGGCAGAACATTTGTGTATAGATTTATAAACTATATAAAAAATGTATTCCCCCCCCCCCCCCAACCCCTCTTTTTGTAGAAGTGATCATATTCCCTCTAACAGCTGGAAGAGAAGGAACAGTACGCTGAGCTTCCCAGTGAATGGCTGTGGGGGTGGGGTGTCAGGACAAGTCTGATCTGGAGGAGAGTGCACTGAGTTTTTAATAGGAAAGCAGAGGGACTGGTAGGGACACCAGGAATTTCACACAAATGAAGCAAAACAAAGAGAACAGGATACCTTTTCATAGTACATGGTACAGTAGGCACATATCAGGGATATGAAATGTTGGGTTTGCATATTCTTTAACTTTTTTTGATGTGATAAAGTATCCCGGGCAGTACTCAACGTTGTCACTACTTCCCCAGTGTTACAGCAGCACAGAATCACCTCGAAGCAGCTTCCAAGCTAATAAAGAGTCAAAATTCGGTTAGAGAAGCCAAACTCATACAGTGCTCAACTTGCTTCTGAATTTGATTCCTTTTAATAGAATCCCCGAGGATTCAATTTTGTGTTTGCAGCGCGTTCATGCATAATAGTTCACGTGCTAACGTGCCTTGTGTTGGAGCAGGCCATTGAATTGAATGAACGCACTTAAAAGAGCCAAAAAGCTGGCATGATCCTTTTTTAATGTAATACACTATAGCGGGTGTCTGCAACCTGCGGCTCCAGAGCCGCATGCGGCTCTTTTTCACCTTGGCTGCGGCTCCGGAGCACACTGCCCACCAGGTGACAGGCAATAGGGCAGCAATGGGCAAACTACGGCCCGGCGGACCTTTTAATCCGGCCCGCGGAGCTAGGCTCCTCTCACAGTCCGCCCTGAAGACCGGTGTAGCATGAAAATCTGTCTCCTATGAGGATCTGTCCCCCTCTACGTATCTGCGCATGTGCCGGAGATCGCCGATCGGCTGCTAATGCCTGAAACTGGCACATGCGCAGATACGTCGAGGGGGACAGATCCTCATAGGAGACAGATTTCCATGCTACACCGGAATGGCGCGGGAACGCGCGGAGCAAAGGTAAGTGAATTGACACAGGGGGGACTTGGGGACTTAATATGGGGGATGAATTAATATCGGGGATGAATTACTATAGGGGGATGAATTACTATATGGGGGATGAATTACTATATGGGGGATGAATTACTATATGGGGGATGTATTTTCAGTTTTAAAAATGTGGCTCTCAAAATAAATTTCAATCGTGGGTTTTGGCGAGATTTGGCTCAGTTGAAAAAAAAGGTTGCCCGCCACTGACCTAAGGCTATGATTGTGATTATGACGATACACTGTGGCCCTGATTAACCCTTTGCTTACTGGGCCCTTAAACCCCCTTCATGACCAGAGCGCTTTTTGCAATATATGCAGTGTCGGATTTGTTTTAAATGTTGCAATGGTTTTGCGGCTCCCAGTCTTTTTTTCCCTCTCGGAAACGGGTCCAAGTGGCTCTTTATGTCTTAAAGGTTGCAGACCCCTGCACTATAGTGTGTTTTGGCAGATTGCAATGCAGATGTCACCTTGGTGTAAATTGATTAACACCACAACACAGTAATGCATGTTAGATGTGCTACCGTGCATTACTGTAAATGGGCACCTAAAGAAGTACTCCAGACTAGGCAAGAAAATCAACCATTAATACACCCCCGTGCACAAAACACTAAACCGTTAATAGCATTTTGAAAGTCCTTACCCTTTAGTAGTAATGTCTAATTAAATTTTCATGACCTCCTCTGTTCAAAAGATAACAGCATCTGCTCTGCCAAGGAGGAGGTGTAACAGTAGGGATTACACCATATCCTCTCCTCTCTTGCTGCAATAAAAGGAAACTACAGTTCCCATCAACCACAGGGAATTGTAGTCAATGTGGGTGGGTGTATTTGATCTGCCCACCACTGCAAGTGGGGCTGCATTAACCACTTACCCAGGTCTCACAGGTCTCTGCCCTGTCAGCTCCGCCGACGACCACTGAGTCCTGGCTGAGACCAGGTGATTGACATGTCCAGCAGCAAATAGCGGCACAGGTAGAGCAGCGCACGTGCGCCCCCTACCCAGGAGTGCAAATCACATATATATATATATATATATATATATATATATAAATATATATATATATATATATATATATATTAGTGTGTGTGACTTTGAGCAGACCTGCAGCAGTACTTCTGATGTAGGGCGGCGGGTAAGTGGTTAAATCACTGCTTCCTGGAAAAAGAACTACAGAAGGGATGTGCCAAGACCAGTGGCTGAAGGAATATGGGGCATATGAGCCATCAGTCTTATAAACAGGAAACCAAAGAAAATTAACGATTTGATTTGAAAATAATATAGGCTATTTCAGAGCAACTACCAAGTGAACCAGAAGATGGATGGCATTCAGTGAAGGTGGGAAATCGTCAACAAGGACCTGTAAAGAAGTTTTTGCCCGGAGTTCTGCTTTAAGGAATACTGTCCTTTGTCCATTGTTTAATGTCCAAGCTGTTAGGACTTTGTTACCTTTTTTATTTGTAATAACCATTTAAACAATATATTCCCAGCACTTGGAGACCCACTCCCCTAACAGCTGCAAATTGTCCATGTCAGTAAACAAAGATCTTCAAGCTTTCTTCCATACAGTGGTTCATATAGAATTTTATTAAACACTGACCAGAAGGTTAGACCCCAAATATCAATGGGTCATATTAAGCTTGTGCAATAATTATTATTATACAGGATTTATAAAGCGCCAACAGTTTGCTCAGCGCTTTACAATATAATGGGAGACAATACAGCAACAATACAGTTCAATACAAGAGGGAAAGGAGGGCCCTGCTCCTTGGAGCTTACAATCTAAGAGGAAGGGGCTAGTGGTACAAAAGGTAATAACTGTGGGGGATGGACTGATAGGAGGAATAGAAGATTCCATTTTTAGCTGAGGGCAGGATAGGCTTCCCTGAAGAGAGAATTGACTGTCGCCTAAAAGTGAGCAGTGTAGGCGATAGTCTGATAAATTGGTGTAGAGAGTTCCAGAGGATGGGGGAAGCTCTGGAGAAGTCCTGGAGACGAGCATGGGAGGAGGAGACAAGGGAGCTAGAGAGCAGGAGGTTATGGGAGGAGCGGAGAGGACGGTTTGGGTGATATTTGGAGACAAGATAGGTGATGTAATTTGGGGCAGAGTTATAAATGGTTTATAATGAAAACACTAGGTGTTGCATTCCTCCCACAAAGACCAAAGTTTCCAGGATTGTTCCCCTCTCACTTCCACTAAAAAGTGCATAACACAAACAAAACAATTATTAAAAGTGTAGTATTATATAGCTAAACCAAACCAAAAACACTCTTGATGGTGCTCACATAAATATGCAGGTGGAGTCTCAAAATCACGTATGTGATGCTTATTCTTCCAATCAACCACTGTGTGTGCCCCCATGCAACAGATTGTCACCAGATAAAACAACTTATTTGGTTAGATACTGCAAGCCCATATAATCTTTCTCGGTCCTCAGATCCACATCCTTTAGACCTCCTATGTACCCCCCATAACCATTGCCTTATTAAATATCTCTAGTGGAATGTGCGGCTTGTTGAAATCCGAAGTCGTAAATGCCAGTGTCATGACTGAACAGAGACTGATCAGTGATTTCTCCAGTCCTTTTACATCTGTTTTGGAGGTTTATTCTCTGTTTCATCACCAGGAACTTTCTTTATTTTGCAGGTAGTAATTCGTCGCCTGCCACCAAGTCTTACCAAAGAGCAACTGGAAGAGCATCTACAACCTCTGCCAGACCACGATTATTTTGAGTTTTTTGCAAATGACTCCAGGTAACACATTGTATAAGGATTTGCATTTGTTAGCAAAGTTGTTGGGTAAACAAAAGTGTCTAAAAACTTCAAAAACTGATTTAATAGTTCAAATTATCAAACGGCTAATAAAACCTAATTATATCTGTGTGGAAGAACCACTTGCCCTCCAGAGGGTTTACACCCCCCCCCCTTCCTGACCAGGCCATTGTCCGCAATATGGCGCTGCGTTACTTTAACTGACAATTGCTCGCTCATGCTACGCTGCACTCAAATTAAATTTACGTCCTTTTTTCCCCACAAATAGAGCTTTCTTTCGGTGGTATTTGATCACCTGTGCGTTTTTTTTTTTTTGTGCTATTAAAAAGAAAAAAAGACCACCAATTTTGAGAAAAAAACAATATTTTTCACTTTTTGCTATTGACCACTTCCCGCTCGGCCAATAGGAAAATGGCGGCCTAGCGGGACTCTCGTCGATCCGGGTGGGCGTCATATGACTTCCTTCCCTGATCGCACTTTTGCACGTGACCGCAGGGCCACGCTCTGGCGAGGTCTGGCACCGGCTGTGTACTTCGGACAGAGCCGATGACAGATCTGTGTAACGGCCCGTTGCCAGTACCATGTGAGCTGCTGTGACCAATCACAGCAGATCTAATTACAGTTGTAAACAATGGATGCCATCCATTGTATACAATTGTCACTAGCTGTGATTGGTCACTGTGATCACATGCGCACACTGGGCCAATCACAGCCCATCTGTGTCATGTGATTAGCCATGGCCAATCAGAGATAATCACAACAAAAAAAAACCTGAATGAATTGATTTCATTCAGTTAAATGCTTGCTTATAGCAAATACATTCTTTGTTATAAGCAATCATGTTGTGTAGAAAAAAAAAATTACTGATCACTCCCCCAAAGTAGTACAATGTTACTAATCTGAAAAGAAAATCATAAAAAAGAGGAAAAAATTTAATAAAAATGAATAATAAAATAAAAAAAATTATACTTTTTTTTTTTTCGTACTGTCATCAGTCAGTGTTCCTGATCACCGCCACACCAGTTATATGGTTATATGATGACGTACTGTACTGGTGACAGTATGTAGAAAAAAAAAATTGTGAAAATAGTTTTTTTAATTTAATAGTTTTCCAAAAAATTACAACTGCAAAAAACTCGCCATGCCTCTTATGAAATACGTTGGACTGCCTACTTTGAAAAAGGTGTCATTTGGGGATATCTATACTGTTCTAACATTTTTGGGCCTCAAGAATTTAGATTGGCTGTCAGTACTTCAGGATTGATCAATTTTCAGATCTATACCATGGTTTGTGAACTCTATAACTTTCCTAAATAATAAATACTGATTTGGGTTATTTTCACCAAAGAAATGTAGTAGAATACATCTTGGCCTAAATTTATGAAGAACAATTATTTCTTTGCAAATTTTTATAACAGAAACAAACTTTTTTTTTTTTTTTTTTTTTTCAAAATTTTCAGTCTTCTTTTTGTTAGGCAAAAAATAAAGACCCCAGTGGTGATTAAATACCGCCAAAAGAAAGCTCTAGTTGTGTGAACAAAATGGTAAAAATGTAGTTTGGGTACAGTGTTGCATGACCGCGCAATTGTCATTCAAAGTGTGAGAGCGCTGAAAACTGGCCTGGGCAGGAAGGGGGTAAAAGTGTTCAGTATTGAAGTGGTTAAACATGTCCAGTAAAAAAAATTTAAAAATAAATCTAATTTCTTCATAAATGTATGCCAAAATGTATTCTGCTACATCTTTGCTAAAAAAAAAAAAAAATCCCAATACGTGTAAATTAATTGGTTTACTTAAGAGTTATAGCGTCTACAAATGGCAGTGTATATATACTGTAATTTATTTTTTTTTTTATACTAGTAATGGCGGCGATCAGTGACTTATAGCGGGACTGTGGCGGGCATTCTGACACTCGGGGGGGGGGGGGGGGGGAACTGACTTAACTGTCACTGACATCCCCAGTAACATCAATACAGTGATCAGTGCTAATAAAAAGCACCGACACTGTACTAATGACACTGGGCAGGAAGGGGTTAATATCTGGGGCGATTAAAGGGTGAACTGTGTGCGGTTTCACTGTGTGCGTGCTTTACACTGTAAGCACACTGCTTTGTATGGCTCTGCCCCCCCCCCCCCCCAAGCAGTCTTCTAGGACACGCGACAGGTCCCAGAAGACTGCAGGACCATTCACAATGCGCAGTGGGACCTGGCTGTGAAGGCACAAGCTGTCACAGCTGGGTGCCCACACTTAAGATGCCAGCTGGGGTGCGGACACTGGATCGAGGGACAGGTGAGTGACTTTTTTAAAACTTTTACATTTTTTTTACAGGAGACTGGAGCTCCACTTTATGTTCTCAAATACAAACCGAGAACAAATGTACAGTAAATATACTAACTTCCAAGTTTGTTATTAAAATGTATAGACACAGCCAGGCATCTATCACATTTAGGAGGCCAGCAGTTTCTGGCTATGTTTAATCACAAATGTACTTTAACCGCTTGCCTAACGGGCACTTATACCCCCTTCCTGCCCAGGCCAATTTTCAGCTTTCAGTGCTATCGCTTTTTGAATAACAATTGCGCAGTCATATACTGTACTCATATGAAATTTTTATCATTTTCTTGAGACATAGTTTTCTTTCTATGTAATCATCTCTGAGTTTTTTATTTTTTGCTAAACAAACTAAAAACAGCTGAAAATTTTGAAAAAAAAAAAAACTATTTTTTCTTTTCTGTTATAAAATTTTGTAAATAAGTTATTTTTCTCCTGCACTGATGGGTGGCACTGATGGGCCAGCACTGGTAGGTGACACTGATGGGCATTGACAGGCATCACTGGGCACTGATAGGCAGCACTGACTGGCACTGATAGGCGGCACTGAAAGGCAGCTCAGATGGGCACTGATATGTGGCATTGATGTGCACTGGTAGGCACTGATATGTGGCATTGATGGGCACTGGCAGGTGGCACTGATGGGGCTACACTGATCATCAGGGAACACTGACCATCAGTGCCCTCTGAGTAATGCAGATTACCGTCTCTCCTCTCCTCACGAGCTGTCAGCATGACAGCTCGTGAAGAGAAGAATGCCAATAACTGGCATTTCCTTATTTACATGCAATCAGCTGTGATTGGACACAGCTGATCACATGACAGAGCCGACGTGATCGGCTCTTTTCATTGATCGGTGATCTGCTATGTCCCAGGGACACAGCGCACCACCTATTGGTGCGCTGCATGCCCCTGGGGGCGCGCACGTGCGGTTAGAGTGGGAGGACATCATATGACGTCCTCCCAGAAGAACGAGAGAACCGCCTTACGCCCGTCATTTCCTTATATAGCAGGCGGGAGGCGGTTAAACACAGAAGCTGGATGAGTGACCATTTTCGTTCATTGCATAACAAAAAGGTGAAGGCTGTCAACAGAGGACCAAACACCTTATTGCAGTTGGCTAGCATTCAGCTCTAGCCATTCAACTCTAGCAAATGTATTCACACTGGGACAAGAACAGAGACACCGATGGGTAAAAAATCCAACCCATCCTCACTCAGAATATTGTTGTGATTGTGTGTTGTTGTCAAATTTGGGTATTTTAAATGTCTCTTATAGATGAAAATATTTTATTTGTTTCCAGCTTATTTCCTCATATGTACTCAAGGGCATACATTAATTTTAAAAGTCAAGAGGACATCATGTTGTTTAGAGATCGTTTTGATGGCTACGTGTTCATTGATCACAGAGGTAAGATTATTTGATTTGTTTTTGCATTATATGCTTATAATTTTGTTCCTACACTGGGGTTGTGTAATGGATTTTGTTTTCTGTTACAGGTCAGGAATATCCAGCGATTGTGGAGTTTGCACCTTTTCAAAAAGTGGCTAAAAAGAAAAGCAAGAAAAAAGATTCCAAGACTGGGACTATAGAGGAAGGTATGAATATGCTTGGTTATAGTGGTTCAGTACAGCAACCCGTTTTTCTTATTGTTTTCTCTCTCAACAATCAATAAATGGTGCTAAAATATAATGTAAGTGTCCAAATTAATGTAAACAAATGATTTAGCTAAAGAGTTCAGTTTTTGTAAGTCCAAAATTCACATATTTCAAACAAACAGTGCATTGATACAACCTCACTAAAATCTCCAGCGGCTAGCATACTGGTGCTTAAACACAGGTTTCTGAAGCCTCATCGATACTTGTTCCATAATGAAAGCCGGCACCACGGTGCAGTTAAACAGGAGATGGGCTTTACTGTACAACATTGGGATAACAGCCAGCAAAGGTCAACACATTTCAGTCAGTTCCAATAAGCTGCGAAGAAGCTAGGGATTGTCATTCTTGCCTATGCAAAAGAGAAATATGGAGCAGCTTAGCAAAAAAGGTTATTTACAAAAAATAAGCTGTAAATATGTGTTAAAAAGGGAGGGGGGAGTAATTTACTGTAGTGGATGAAGATCTGCTTTATGTGCTTGCTAAATGAGTATAGAACCTAATGTGTAAATGTGAGGCAGTGCTTCCTCAATATATATGGAGGCTCTGCATTGCTTTATAGTGGTTGTGCTTTATTGCTCCTTTTCATCATTCTGGTCTATGGGTGGGCCAACTCATTGAAAACAATGCACTCTCTATGGTTAATAACATGAATAGTTTTTGAGAGAGGAAGTAATTTCACTGTATCATTGTGGGCTCTCTAGTCGTTAATCTACAAATCTCTGTAGTTAACGTAGAAGAAAAGCCTAACTATATCTGTTCTTAAAAATGTTCCCTCCCTCCTTCTCCTACCTATCCTGCCTAACATATATGAAAAAGATCTAAATATTTATCTGTTTTTAATCCACTTTGGTCATTTCATGTGATTCAGCAGCTGAAGCTCCCCTGTGTCAGTGACACAGCGGCTGCTGCAGGCAGGGGAGAGGAGGGAGCGGAGACAATGTCTGGACTATGGGAACTTATGGCTGACGTCACAGCTCCCGGAATTCATGGCTGTTGTTGAGCGCTCTCTCACACAATGCTGATAGATCACGTGATCAGACCAGAGCGAATTAAAAATAGGTAAGTATTCATACAGGTTAAGTAGGAGGTGGGGAAGGGACCATTTTTAAGAATAGATATATCTATGTTTTTCTTCAGCTTTAATGCAATGAAAAAACTGTGAAAGAACAAGCTTGTATAAATGGAAGTCACATTAAAAAAGTACTTTAAAGTGACCCTACTGCCAATTTAAAAATGCTAATAAAACTTCTTCCTGTAAAAATAACGTTCATACGTAACTCTCCAGCTCCCTGTGCTGTCGAACATTGTTCTACTTATGAGGAATCGTTCCCTGAAGTCTGTTGAAAAACAAACCCGTATCTCCTGTACCTGCTATTGTACTCTATGGATCCTCCCAACGACCTTCACATTTATTACGTTTAGACAAACACTTTAACCACTTCCTTACTGTGCTATAGCTGAAAGATTGCTACAGCGCAGCTCTGTTGTTACGGGAGGGTGACTATGGACATCCTTCTGGAACTGCGTCCCCCGGTGACATGCTCCCGACACACTCTGTGATTGCTGCGTCCTTCAGATGCAGCTGATCACATGTCACGGTAAAGGGCCAATCACAGCTGCTACTGTGATTGGACACACACTGATCACAATGTAAATACATTTGCCGGTTATCTGTAGTCACAGCGTGAGCAGAGGAGAGACAGGAACCGGCTACAATGACAGGGGCATGTACACAGATAAGCAGGGTACTGGTTATCAGTGCTGTCCATTAGTGCAGTTTATCAGCGCACATCAGTGAAGGAGAAAAATTACTTCTTTGCAAAATTATAACAGAGACAAAGAAAGGTTGTCGTTTTTTTTTATTTTCTTTTGTTTAGCAAAAAATAACAAAACCTAGTGGTGATTAAATACCGCCAAAATACTGTCTCAAAAAATTATAAAAATGTCCTATGGGTACAGTGGTTCATGACCATGCAATTGGCATTCAAAGTGTGACAGCAATGAAAGCTGAAAATTGGCCTGATCAGGAAAGGGGTGTAAAGTGCCCAGTAGGCAATTGGTTAAATGTGACTATGTATGATCTCCTAGAGTGAAAGTTTTTCCTGAATATATTGGGGGAAATTTACTAAAACGGCAGAGTGCAAAGTCTGGTGCAGCTCTACATAGAAACCAATCAGCTTCCAGGTTTTTTTCAAAGCTTAATTGAACAAGCTGAAGTTAGAAGCTGATTGGTTCCAATGCACAGCTTCACCAGATTCTGTGTGCTCAAGTTTTAGTAAATCTTCCCCATAGAGTTTCTGTTGGAAGGCAGTTGCTGCCATGTTGATAAGTTCACACAATTCTAGTTTATTTATAAACTTAAAGTATTCATGCTAATGTGTAAAGAGAGAATCCTACATTTTCATGTGTTTTATTTTATTTACAAGATCCAGAATACAAAAAATTTTTAGATTCATACAATCTGGATGAAGAGAAGCTGACTTCTACCCCAGAAACTTTGCTGGAAGAAATAGAGGCAAAGAAATAAAGAAATGATAGGTAAAATACATGTCTATGTCTAGTCATTTGTGTTTCAGATTACACCTCTATGCAAAGACTATTTAATAAATTATGATTTTACTACCAGTATGTTGTATCCAAGCAAAAATGGCAATAATCACATATGTAGATTTTCTGCTAATAAGCAGTGAAGTCTTGAAGATCACTTAGATTGGTCATAAGGGTCACAGTGTGATTCAGAGGCACTGGAAATGTGTTTAAAAGTGTTCGCAAAATAACATATTTGGTAAGAATTGTTTGAGATTAAGCCTACTGTAAGTGTCTTTCTCGGTTGTGGGGGACATTGGGCATCTAAAACTTCAGTAAAACTTGTGTGGAAGTCTACACTCAGAATTCTTGTTTTCTCATGTTCTTTTTTTGCTTGGCTTTAGCCCCTAAGTTATGTAGACATTTCCACACATTGAATGTGAACCCAGAATGTGTTGAGCTTTGGTGCAGTTTATTTTTTCTGCATTCACATGAATTCTTAAAGTATCCATGCAATAAAAGTGTGATCTGAAAGTGGTGACAAGACTTGCAACCAGAATGTGACAGATATGTTACCTCTCACTTGAATGCATGTCTGAGCTTTTAGTATAACAAAAGTAATTCATGTGAAACATTGGGCTCTTTTTCCTGTATGTGGAATAACATTTCACTAATAGATACCTGAATGAATTTGTTCTGATTTTAGCTGTGCTGTTAGACTGCTTTTCATATCCCCTCGATGATCATAAATGTCTTTATTTTATTAAGCCTCTAAAAAGCATTTAATCTTTACCTTCCAGCCAAGAAGACAACTCCCTTGCTGAGCTTTTTAAAAAATAGACAGGTATGTTTTTTTTTTTTTTTCTGACCCCTTTTACATTGATACATTTTTGTTCATATTTGTACCTCTTTTAGAAAGTGGTTTCACTTGTGATTTGAGTGATGCCAATGGAATTAGTCACACTTAGCCCATAGTGGAGTCAGTTTTTCTTTCAACCAGAAACAAAAAAAAAAAAACCAAAAAAACTTGATTCCCCCGTCCATACACTTCACCTAGATGGGGAAATCCTTTGCGCTGAGCTGCGGGAAAACTATAGCCTGCAGCGCTGATCAAGCAGGGAAAATCCGACAGAACAATTGTAGAGAAGTCAGTCGCTAGATCAACTTTTGTATAACCTCTCTGCTCATACATAGATCAAAATTCATCTGGTCCCTGCTGAAGTGGCTGAATTTCGACCCATGTAAGGCAGGCTTTTAGACTTTTCTTTACATGAGTAAATGTGGAGGGGGCACATCTTTCGCTCCATCCTCTCCTCCTGGCTGGCCACCTGAATTCTAACAAGACAGACAGAGCTGTACACATAGGCACAAAGCTGTGTTTCAAGGCCACAGAATTTTTAACGCAGTCTGTAGAATTTGGCAAACAGCCCAGCCTGTCAATCTCGCCCATTGAGTTCAATTTACAACTTACAATGCCTGGGTAGTGCACCATTACAGGATTAAATGAAGTGGTGAAGAGGAGGTATGACACAAATCACTCTTCAGAAGGCACCTCAAGTTTAAAAAGAGCCCTTGGCCTGTACTGAACAAATGTCTGTATGCTGTTAAAGCAGACTTATAACAAACAATGACTTTAGGTTTGCAGGTTCTCCATGCTGCTGCTATTTAACAAGCATCTAGACCTCACAGATGCTTGCCTAAGTTCTGTAGAAGGGTCCTCCCAGAGTCTAGCAGACCATCTACTATATTCACTTCACCTCTCGTGAAGGCGAGGTGCCTATGGATAGCTACAGCAGACACTGCCAGTTGGTGCCATTTTGACCTCACAGTTGCCCAGTATTACAAAACCCAATTCCAATAACATTTTGCTCACATTGTTTCAGAGAATAAGAGATGAAAAGCGTGAAGAAAGGAGGAGGAGAGAGTTAGAGCGAAAAAGACAACGTGAAGAAGAAAGAAGGAAGTGGAAAGAGGATGAACGAAGGAAAAGAAAAGATGCAGAAAAACAAAAGAAATATGAAAAAACTCCAGATAAAGAATCGGAAAGATCAAAAGATGAACCTAAAATTAAGGTATTGCAAAGACTTTCAAGGGAAATTTGGATACATATTTAATCTTTGTTGCTGTTATTAGTTGTAAAGTATCTCTCAAAATATCTTCTTATTATTGTTCGTATTCAGATTTATTTATTTAAATATTTTTTTTTAAAGGGGAGACACCTCTGTGCAGTTCACCTTTTTTACAGTCTCACTACATTTTTGAATTGCAAGATAACTCTTAAAAGAAATATCAGTGTACTTAGTAAAAGGTATTTGCTTGTCTTGTATTAAAGTGCACCTCAAAGAAAGCATTGAATTCTAAGCTCTCAGTTCTATCCAGGAAACATTGGGCTTCTTGTTTGCCTGCTGTTACTTCTCTCATGATTTTGTGCTGAGCTAAGCTTTGCAAACCCCCATGTTGCAGTTGGTGTACAGAGTTGCAAGTTGGTGGTCAGAAGCAAGGTAGACTCGTTGTAGCAGCCTGATATTTAGGGTCCTACCAGCAGTCAAAAGGATCTAGCAAACAAGATTGCTAGATGAACAAAGATAATGCTAGAATAAAAATTAAAACAATTCTGCCTGCCATCCCCCCATTAATAAGTTTAGTTGCAGTGCTTTTCTTGAATTAACTGTATACCTTTTTTTAAGCTGTCATTTTGCTTGGAAATGAATGTAATTTCCAGGCCTCATGCACACTTTTTTTTTTTTTTTTTTAACACCCCCCCCCCTTCCCTAGAAGCCTCCTCCTCCTAACAGCAATGTTTTTAACAAAAAAAAAAAAAAACGCCTGACATTTGTAAGAGCCCCTGCTACTAAAAGCTTCTGAAGTCGTAGTGTGCATGGATACATAGGAAACACGGAGGGACATTTGGTAGCAAAAAAAAAAAAAAAAAAAAAAAGCCCGGCACTCTTAAAAGCGTCAGGAAAGGCGCCCTGTGTGCACGAAGCCTTAAAATGTGTAATAGGAAAAAAATTTTCATATTTGGATTTAGGCCTTGTTCACAAAGTCAGTAAAAACCAACAGCTGAGCCACATTTTTACTGACCACCGAAAACCTAATATGGTTGCTAAAGGTTACATATTTAAAGTGGTTGTAAACCCTTACATATACCCAGTGAAGTGATTGGCCTCAGGTGATGCACATAGATGAAAAACAATCGCCTACATAATTTGTACCTATCTATCTGCAGTCTTCCCTTCTCTACATCCATTCAAAGTCCATCATTTATAAAGCTTGACTGAGAGTTCAGAAAAAGGGACTGGAGAGCTGAAATTACACTCTGCAGAGTTCAGTGAGGAGAGCTCTGAGAGCTGATTGGAGGGAAGCGAAGCACCTCCCTTCACACAACTTACATAAAGAGAGCTGAGGCTGTCAGTCTGCTGAAGGTCACTCCCCATAACCATTTTCCTCTTGGTGTCAGGAAAACGTGTCAGAAAAGATTCATTCTGATAGCAGAACGAAGCAGCAGACAGAAATTAAACTTAGAGGCTCTTAATTGAGGCAAGTGCACATTATAGAGGGATGTGCTTTGTTGTTTGCATTTCATGTCTGAGATTTATAACCAAGAAACCTAAGAATGTCCTGGCTGTCCTACTGCTTGAAATTTTCATATGACTTGACCGTGTGTTTTGTTTTGTGTATGGTTCCTGTTCTTGACTTTAGTACTAGATTATTTTTGATATTAAGTAGATGTTTCTTGTTTTTAAAGCTGCTTAGGAAACCTGAAAAAGATGATGAGCAAGATACTGAGAAGAAATTTAAGGCCAAAAAAACAGAGAAAGAGACTGGGCGAGAAGATCGCAGCTCAGCAGGAAAAAGACTGGATGGTGACCATGGAGAGGAGAAGACTAAAAGGTATGGTGGTTTGTTTGTTTTTTTATTACAGGTAAAGACTGAAAATTCTCTCTGGATACGTTACAGCTTTACCTACTTCCTAATAAAAAAAAAAAAAGAAACACGTGCTTTATATATTCATAAATAGCTTGGTCAGATGTCAGAACATGTTATTTATACATTAGGAACTTATTAGTTGGTGTTCAGAGAGATCTCCTAAGTCCGTTTTGACAGCCTTTTCTGTGTATGGTAAGGTATTCACACGAGTCTGTCCACATATGTCATATTCCTGTCCTACCATTTCTAGATAACCGGAATGTTACTTAAATGCAGTCAATCTAAATTGTGTCTGACTTTTGGCTACACAACTACTAGGTATACAAAACCCTAAACCTTTAGTCCAGCCAGAAGATGGGACCTTGTTCTTAGAAATGTTACTCCTCTTCCGCTCTTTAGTCGAGTTGTTTTCTGTATTCCCAATCTGTGTGATTGTTCGACTCTTACAGTGGTGTCTAATATTTTCAAATGCACATACACAGCATAGATGTAGCAGGAAATGTAAGTTCGTCCGTTTCTCTACATATCCTTCCAGTGAGCTCCGGGGGAACCCCTGTGTTGTCCTGCCTGTGGCTTTCGGAGAAGCCTGATGTGCACTGGAAAATTGTGCAAAACAACAAAACTGAATCTCCAAATAAAATCTGTAGCATGTTTCAAAACGTTAAAAATTATTCTTTTGCAAAAACTAGGCCAAGTTTACCTTGACTGACTGAATGGCACTGCAAAATATGTGTTGTGAAGGCAAAATATAATTTCTCCAAAATAGATTTATGAGAAGCGATGAGAATCCTCTACAGTGCCTTGATTGTATTTTTCTTTTGAAAATTTAGATGTGAAGATGAATATGTAAAAGATTACAGAGAAAAGGATTACAGAGACAAAGATTATGAGCAGGAGCGTCGTGCAAGAAGGGAGAAGGAGAAGCACCAGTATGAAGAAGAGCGCAGAAAGCAAAGGGATCGTTATGAAAAAGATAGAAGTTTCCGGAGAAGAGAGGATGACTACAGGAAAGAGCGAGAAGCCGCCAGAGAGAGGGCAAGGAAGGAGGCTAGTGAAAGTCAGCAAGCAACTGACAAATCTGAGCGCCAGTCCCGAGAAGAGAAGAAAGAAGATGCTGCCAAGAGAGATCGGATAAGGAACAAGGTTAGAGAGAGAGTAAAACTTCCACTTTAAAAAAAAAAAAAAAAAAAAAAAATTAAATTTTACACTTGCCTGCTCTGTATAATGATTTTGCACAGAGCAGCCCTGATCCTCTTCTCCTTGGTGCTCCTGGCTTCTCCTCCTTGACCAGTGACCCTAATAGCAAGCCACTTGCTATGGGGACACTGCTGCATGCTCTCTCCCGAGCCCTGCTATATATGTCCATAAGACACATAGAGCTGTGGCTTGGCCCCACCCCCTGCCCTCACCTCATTGACTCACCGGCTGTGGTTGACAGCAGTGGGAGCCATTGGTTCCTGCTTCTGTGTCATCCATTGAGAATAGAGATACCTGGGACAGCCTAAGGTCCTGTGCACATCTCTGGATCGAGAGGGGGCCCAGGTGAGTATTAGGGGGGCTGTGGGGGGAGAAACACACACAGGTTTTTTTTTTTTTTTTTTTTGTACCTTCATGCATAGAATGCATGAAAGTAAAAAAAACTTTAGCCTTTTACAAGCAGTTTAAAGGATAAGTTCACCTTCAGGAACATGTTACATGTTTCACTTGTTTTTAGGGTGGAACGTGTAACATGTTCCCTCTCATGCAGCCACTAGGTAATCCGCTGCCTCTGTGTGACAGCAAGTAAATGCACTTTTTTTTGCCCGAAAAAAATTGTGTTGTTATGTTCTTATTAACCACTTACCCAAATGAAATTTACAATCCAATTTCCTTGCTGCTTAATATTCCACGGTCAACTGTTAGTGGTATTATAACAAAGTGGAAGCAACTGGGAGCAACAGCAATTCAGCCATGAAGTGGTAGGCTACGTAAAATGACAGAGCGGGGTCAGCGCATGCTGAAGCGCTCAGTGCGTAGAAGTCGCCAACTGTCTGCAGAGTCAATAGATAAAGTTAGTGATTGGAACACCTGAATCCAATGATTGTAAGGGGTGACCCAATACTTTGGCAAGTGTGTGTGTGTAAGTATAATTTCCATGTTCTAATGTATTTAACATTACAGGATCGCCCAGCAATGCAGCTGTACCAACCTGGAGCAAGGAGCAGGAGCCGACTAACACAGTGTGACAAGAGTCCAGGAAAATCCAGTGATCTGTCTGAGAAAAAACATGAGGGTGAGAGCAGTGATCAGTGCAAAGGCGAGTAAGGAGCTGAAAGATGTGGAGTGTCCTGCCCGTCATGACAACCAAAGAAATCAAACTCTGCAATCCAGAAGTGCCTTCACAGAGAAGGAGTCGGGAGCAGGCAGGAGAGGTGTCCAGAGGCAGAGGGGCCTCTTTGAGGGGGTTGCAAACAGAGTTTGGCTAAGAATCCACCATGGATTTTCATAGCAACAAGACTGCTGACAGAATGTTTAGTTCTTAGTGCTGTAGAGGTCATGGTAAGAGAGAGAGAGCATGGTGGAAATCTTCAGTTTACAATATCTTGTCTCGTGGCCTTAATGAAACATGAGTCCTCCATTCCTGTACTGGCAGAAGGTTATAACAGAAGAGTATTTTTGAATGTTATTTCAGCCCAGTATTATATAGGCTGTTTCCATAGAGCTTGCCCTGTATTTCAGTTTTGCAGTGTAGCTGTTGAAGATTTTTGCTTTGTATTCCTTTCTGGAGTCCAGAACAATCGCTGCTGTACAATGCTGTAAAGACTCAGAGCAAGGCTGTAATTTTTGGTTTTCCTAATTATTTTCTTACAGATCTTTATTATAACAGATATCTAAGTTGGCAGATTCTCAGACCTATGACAGCTTATTTTATCACATATGGAGCATATAAAGAGTTGGTTATCCTCTTAAGGAAATGTAACCTAAATGTTTTCTTAACTTTTTTTCTATCGAAAATAAAAAATACTTTCACTCGAAACTGGAATGTGTGTGCTTTCTCTGATGTGAACTGAACAGACATTTTGCCTTTTCAAAATTGATTAAAAAAACAAAGCTCACAGTCTGTAAGGCGAGAACTATGTGGATGACCTTAATAGCACTATGAGATTCAGCCTTTTTTGACAGTTTACTGGTAGCACATTAATTTAAATGCTAATTCACACTATATGAAGTGACAGGCATTTTATTACATTGTAAACCACAAGGACACACACAATTATTTCCTGTGTCCTGTTCCCACTGCAATACAGCATATGGATGCCTTTTTTGCATGCTGTGATAAAATGTTGCATTTTATTGCAGCGCACCGTGCTGAATCGTGGAGCAACGCAGCGCATCACACTGCTGTACATTGCCATAAATGAGCGTTTGTATAAAACGAAAAAGGGAGCTGTGTGATGTGCTGAATTGTGCACCCCACTGCCCCCTACCTCTGCCAGGTATAGTAAAGCGTTCTGGCAGCTCTTGTAGTGTGAGTTCACTCTTAGTGCGTAGCACAATTAAAGTGGTTGTAAACCCTTACCTATACCCAGTGAAGTGACTTTCCTCAGGTGACAGAGGTGAAACAAATCCTACATGAGTTGTACCTGTTTATCAGAAGCCAATTGTCCTGTGTAGCCATGTAAAAATCCTTTTAATCTAAGTCGCAAAGCAGGGGGTGGGGCACTGCAGTTACAGTGTTCAAGAGCTCTGAGACCTGATTGGAGGGAAGAGACACGCTGGTGGAGATTCCTCCCCTGTCACCTTTTTATTTATTGGTGTCAGGAAAACCTGTCAGAAGTGACTCCTGCAGATAAGAGGCAATGACACTTAGGGGTAGATTTGCTAAAAATGAAGAGTGCAAAATCTGGTGCAGCTGTGCATGGTAGCCTAATGGCTTCTAATTTCGGCTTGTTCACGTAAGCTTTGCCAAACAAAAACATGGCAGCTGATTGGTTTCTATGCAGAGCTGCACCAGATTTTGCACTCTCCAGTTTTAGTAAATCAACCCTTACGTGTTCTGGAATGAGGCAAGTAAACATAATAGAAATAAGTGCTTTGCTCCAATTTTTATACCTGAGGTTTACAATCACTTTAAGTGAGCAAGTAATGTTTATCAAAAATGTGTCTTCATTAGGGAGGGAGATTCGCCTTCTCTAATTGTCCTGGTGACTACTGAAAATACATTTTTAGTTCTCACCAGAAAAGGAAAAGAAGGAAAGTCTTCCACTGTGGACTCCTGTTCCAGTAGCAATGGTCTGTGAGGGGATTTCCTTCACTTTGGAAAGATTTACTTTTTAGGACAAGAAGTGGAAGGAAATCTCCCCAATGGGACACTGATGGTAAAAAAGATTTGGGTTTCCCTCCCTCCTCTATCCAGAATGAATAAACCTGGGTGTTTCTAATTCCTGTCATGCCTCCCTCTCCTTGAGTGTCGGACCTGCTTAGGGTTCTTTGGTTTAAACACAATTGCTAGAATGGCCATTGGTCTAAGGAAGTGGTCTCCAAACTGCAGCCCAGGGGCCAGATGTTTGCTTGTCTCTGTCCTGCCCTTGGGATACTATTGTTCCAACTGACACCATTGATGAGGCACCATTCTTCCCACTTTCACCATTAATGGGACATTCTTCTTCACACCGAGACCATCAATGGGGCACTATTCTTCCTGCTGAGACCAATGATGAGGCACTATTTCTTCTACTGACACCATTGATAGGGCATTGTATTTGCAATTGATACCAACCATGGTTCACTATTCCTCCTGCTAAAGCCAACAACGGGGCACTCTTCCTTCTGTTAAAACCATTGTTGGAACAGTTTTTACTCCCACTGATTTTGGGACATTTTCTACTTCCACTGGCCACAGTTCAGCCCCCCTAAAGCCTTAAGGACAGTCAATTGGCCCTTTGTTTAAAAAGTTTGGAGACCCCCTGGTCTAAGGGCTAGTTTACACAAGCTGGAGTTCAGTGCACTTTTTTTCTGCATCAAAAATACATACACAGTGTTTTCCAAGTATTCCAATGGCCCTGGTTCACACTAGTGCAGTCGGTTCCAATTGGTTTCCGGTGCAGAAAAAAAAAAAAGATGCTGCATTTTTTCTGCACAGAACGATACTGGAACATGGCAAACTGCATCAAAACTGCACTGGAATTGCATGTTGTGTGAACAGTAAGCAAAAACATATCCGGGATGCATCTGGAGTGCACTTTTGTAGTGTGAACTGGCCCTAAAAGCCCTTTCATATATGTAGGATTACTCAACTTTCTTTTTTTTTTTTTTTATTTTCCTTTCCCCCACATTAAAGGCTACAATCAAACTATTGTACGTGCATGTTTTGTTGCACTGCCTTTGATTTTTAATAGTATATCAATGTGCAAACACAAGTAAACCAACACTCCTGGGCTCAGTGTAGTGCAAGTGATAAACAACAAATGAGTTACCTATGAGCGCATTGGAAAAGAAGTATGTAGTGGTATGGTTTTTTTTTTTTTTTTTTTTTTTTTTTTTTTTGGGGTTTTTTTTTTCAGATGTGCTGTGGGCCCATTAAATATTTGAGGGAAACATAGGCAACTCAATACATGAGAATGGACCTTACAGTGTATGTTAGGGCAAAAAAAAGTAACCTATTCAGTATCTCTGCAATTGCTGCATATTTCCCCATGCTTTGTCTCTTTAAATAATCTGCAAGTATAGAAAAATGTGTTGATCCTGCCAGAAATCCATCAAGCTTGTGATGAAGTAAAATCAAAATACAGTATTCTTATCATCCCTGCCTAGCAACAAATACCAAATACTGCTTCCAGGTCATCAGAGAATATTGAAAAACAATGGATGACTGCACTTAAGTAAAATCAACTTCTTGATTGATGAAACTTCATACAACAGGAGTACAGCAGGAGGAGTGAGACTTTTAATCTCTTTACTGCTAAAAAGCTTTTAATCATATATTAAGCACTTTTTAGGATGAAATACGTTATGAGTGCATTCCCTGTGTCTGAACTTCTACCGAATACATGGTTGACTGTTACTGGTTGCACTGTTCATTGCATCAAATATTACTACAATCAGCACCAAGGCTGATGGCATGTGAGTGCTCATTGCTCCTAATGTTCAGCTGCCTCTTTGCTGCCTTGTAGCAGTGACACTCTACATAGAATCTTTAAGCACTACAAACGTATGCCTAGAATTCAGCTATGCAGAAGAGCTAGAAAATATAAGTAAAGTAAGTTATATAAGACCAAAGGTCATGGCATTAGACACGTAAAAAAAGATTTCTCCACATAGTGTAAAATCCTCAAATACGAAATGTATTATATGGTAAAATTGCAGTAAAATGATAATGGACATCAGCGTGTACAAACACTAAAATCGAGTCTTCAAGATGGCCTCCAGCTGGTCGCGCATGCATTGTAGCGTGTGAGCATGGCTCCACCCTACGTGTTTCATCACAAATGACTTCATCAGGGGCACTTCGTATTTGAGGATTTTACACTGTGTGGAGAAATCTTTTTTTACATGTCTAATACCATGAGCAGTGGTCTTGTATAACTTACTTGGAGTCATCATATACAGGTGAAACTCGAAAAATTAGAATATCGTGCAAAAGTTCATTTATTTCAGTAATGCAACTTCAAAGGTGAAACTTATATATGAGATAGACTCAATACATGCAAAGCAAGATAGTTCAAGCCGTGATTTGTCATAATTGTGATGATTATGGCTTACAGCTCATGAAAAACCCCAAATCCACAATCTCAGAAAATTAGAATATTGTGAAAAGGTGCAATATTCTCGCTCAAAGTGTCCCACTCTAATCAGTTAATTAAGCCATAACACCTGCAAAGGGTTCCTGAGCCTTTAAATGGTCTCTCAGTCTGGTTCAGTAGGAATCACAATCATGGGAAAGACTGCTGACCTGACAGTTGTGCAGAAAACCATCATTGACACCCTCCATAAGGAGGGAAAGCCTCAAAAGGTAATTGCAAAAGAAGTTGGATGTTCCCAAAGTGCTGTATCAAAGCTCATTAATAGAAAGTTATGTGGAAGGGAAAAGTGTGAAAGAAAAAGGTGCACAAGCAGCAGAGATGACCGCAGCCTGGAGAGGATTGTCAGGAAAAGGCCATTCAAAAGTGTTGGGGACTTTCACAAGGAGTGGACTGAGGCTGGAGTCAGTGCATCAAGAGCCACCACACACAGACGGATCCTGGACATGGGCTTCAAATGTCGTATTCCTCTTGTCAAGCCGCTCCTGAACAACAGACAACGTCAGAAGCATCTTACCTGGGCTA